ATGTACACATAGCTCAACAGAATGCAACATCTAAGGCCTACACCTTGTTTAGGCTCACAGTTCAGCAGGGAAAGCAACACATCCATTTACGTACAGCAGTCCATGTGTATAACCTACAGAGATCTCCAGCAATGAGGCTTACAAGCACCCATCTTCTGAGCAGGGAGGAAGCTGTAAAAGTTGTTCCATGGAAAATGAAGAAATGCTACCCCATGGGAAATATCTGACATTTCTCTTATCTGGCATCAGGGGCAGATGTGACCTGCTCTCAGTAGTCTCTGACATTAACAGTTTCCAGTCTTCTCCAGGGACATTTGTCTTCTCCATCCCTGTTACACAGCATGGACTGCTAGGGTACAGCAGTGGGACCATCCCCAATTATTTTAGTTTCATTAGGACTTGGAGTGCTCAGGAGGTGTGAAAGATCAATTCCTGTTAGTCCAAACCTGGACTTCAGTGGATGGTGTGAACGGGAGGGATCTGGGGAAGGGCTGAAAAAACCCAGGAAGAGAGAGACAGTGAACGGCTGGCTGCAGCGAATTAGATAGGAACCCCAAAGGATGCCCTGGCCAGATTTTAAGATTCCTTCCTAAAGCACTCCTCCCAGTGGCTCACCTTATGTTTTGGTTTGGTTTTTTCTTCCCAGTCACGGCTGAATTTTGATAATCATGTTGCACTTTACCTAATGAAAGAAAGATTTGTGTTTCCATATGGGCACATTTATTCACTCAGATTTAGATTCACTTAAATTTGTAATGCATTGTAAAACATTCATGCTAATTTTATTTGGAATGGAGTAAATTTTCTTCACAGTAGCTAGTATGGAGCTGGGGTTTAAATTTGTCCTGGAAACTGTTAATAATTCAGGGTGTTCTCCTTGCTGAGCAGTATTTATGCAGAGCCAAGGCCTTTTCTGCTCCTCACCTCACCCCAGCAGTGAGTGGGCTGGGATTCACAAGGAGCTAAGAGGGGACGCAGCTGGGACAGCTTACCCCCACTGACCAAAGGCACATTCCTGTACCTTATGATATCATGCTCAGCATATTATATTGATGGAAGACAAAGAAGGAGGAAAAGAGGGAGGTTCAGAGAGATGGCATTTGTATTCTCCAGTCACTCTTATGCACGATGAAGCCTGGCTTTCCTGGAGATGGCTGAACACCTGCCTGTCCATGAGAAGGAGTTGATTATTTCCTTGTTGCACTTTGCATTCATGTGTGGCTTTTGCTTTGCCTATTAAACTGTTTTTATCTCAAGCCATGGATTTTCTCACTTTTGCCCTTCTGAATCTCTCCCTTATACCACTAGGGGTAACGAATGAGCAGCTGCATGGGGCTTAGCTGCCAGCTGGGTAAAACCATGATAATACTTGATAATTTACTGCCTTTACAGGCAGTAAATTATCAAGTATTATCATGGTTTAACCCCAGCTGGTCTAATAAAATGCATCATTCTCCCTACAGAATCAGTTTGAAAGTATTAGAACCAATATTGTGGCTTTGTAATAGTTGATACATTTTAAAAGACCAAACTCAATAACAGTTCTCCATATTTTATATATTCCTCTTTAAAAAGGGACAGGCAGGGGAAATGAGGACAATATGTTGCCTTCTATATCAATTATAAGCTCGGAGTGCATGGAGTTCTCTCTGGGGATGAATTATGTGCCACATTAAAGGAATGGCAGGGACAGGGGACATGAGTCCTCTGTAGGCATGTAGGAGCAACCTTATTTTCACAAGTCCTAGTCCTCATGGGGGACTTCAATCACCCTCTTATCTGTTGGAAGGACAATACAGCAGGGCATTAAGCATGGAGTTTCCTGGAATGTCTCATTGGTAACTTCCTTCTCCAAGTCATAGAGAAGCCAACAAGGAGAGGTGCTGTGCTGGACCTTGTTCTCACTAAGAAGGAGGGACTGGTGCGGGATGTGAAGCTCAAGTGCAGCCTGGGCTGCATTGACCATGAAATGGTGGTGTTTGAGATCCTTAGGGCAGTGAGGAGGAGCAAAGCAGAGCAGCCGTCTTGGCCTGGAGGGATCTGCTTGGTGGAGTGCCATGGGATAGAGCCCTGGAGGGAAGAGGACCCCAGGAAAGAAGGTTAATGTTCAAAGATCACCTCCTTCAGGCTCAGGAGCCTCCCAATGAACAGGAAGCCAAATGAAAACCTTAGGAGATATGCACAGATAAATATGGAGCTGCTGGACACATTCAAACACTAAAAGGAAGTCTACAGAGGGCCAGAGCAAGGACAAGTAGCCTGGGAGGAATTTGGAGTGATTGACTACCCAGGGATTAGGTTAAGAAAACTAAATCACTGATAGAATTAAACCTGACCAGGGACATCAAGGGCCACAAGAAAAGCTTCTATAGGTACACCAGTGATAAAGGAAGACTAGGAAAAATGTGAGCTCTTTCAGGATGAGTCTAGGAGACTTGGTTACTCAGAGCTGTAACCCTGAGATAATTACTTTTTTGCCTCTTGCTTCACCAGTGAGTTCTCCAGTTGCCCCATCCAAATTGCAGAAGATGAAGGCAGGGATTGAGAGAACGAAGAGCCACCTGCTGTAGGTCAAGTTCAAGAATATCTGAGAAACCTGAAGGTGTAAAAATCAATGGGACCAAAAAAGATTCATGTGTGGGTCCTGAGTGATCCCATGAAGGAAGTAGCTATCATCTTTTCCATCATACTTTAGAAGTCATGGCAGTCCAGTGAAGTTCTCGCTGACTGGAAAAGGGGAAACATAATCCATATTTTTAAAAAGAAAAATAAGGAAGGAAGATCCAGGGAACTACAAAACCATCAGTCACCTCAGAGTTTGGCAAAACCATGGAGCCAAACCTTCTGGTAACTAACTAAGGAATGTGAAAAATACAAAGGTGACTGGTGACAAACTTCATTAAAGGCAAATAATGCCTTACAAATTTGGTGGCCTTCTATGACAGGATTACAGAGGTAGTAGATAAGGGAAGAGGGACTGGTTTCACCTGCCTGGATTTGTGGGAAGTATTTGACACTGTCCCAAACAACATCCTTGTCTCTAAATTGGAGAGACATGGATTTGGCATCTAGACCACTTGAAGGATAAGGTGATGACTGGATGGTTGGACTCAGACAGTTCCAGTCAACAGCTCAATGTCCAGGTGAAGACCATTGACAAATTATGTTCATCAGGGAACCTTGGGACCAGCACTATTTAATGTTTTTGTTGATGACAAGGGACAGTGGTATTGAGAGCACCCTCAGAAAGTTTGCTGATGATACCAGGCTGTGTGGAGCAGCTGACACAGTGGAGGAAAGAGATGCTATGCAGGGGACCTAGATATACTAGAGAAGTTGGGCCATGTGAACATCATGAAGTTCAGCAAGGCCAAATGCAATATCCTGTACCTGTGTCAGGGCAATCCCAAGCACAAGTACTGGCTGCGTAGGGAATAAATTGAGAGCAGCCCTGAGGTGAAGGTCTTGGGGGTTGTTGGTGGGCAAGAACTTTGACATGACCCAGCAATGTGTACTTGCAACCAAAACCAACCCTAACCCTCAGCCTGGAGAAGACTCCAAGACCATTTTTTAATGGTCTTCCAGTATCTGAGGAGACCTGCAAGAGAGCTGGAGAGGGAGTTTTAAAAAGGGCATGTAGTGATGGGGCAAGAAGGAATGCCTTTAAGCTAAAATGAATGTGCTAAGATTGGATATTGGGAAGAAATTCTTTACTGTGAGGGTAGCGAGACACTGAAACATATTTCCTAGGGAAGCTGTGGATTCCCCAGCCCTCGAAGTCCTTCAGGGCAGTTTGAATGTGGCTTGAGGAAGGTTTTGAGGATGGTGCTTAGCAGAAGGATTTTCTTCCCATGGCAGGGAGGCTAGTACGAGATGATCTCTAATAGCCCTTCCAGCTGAAACCATTCTATAATTCAGCTTTTATCTTCGGTAATATAGCTGAATGATTCTTCCCCATTCATAGTGATTCCAGCCAAATAATCAGGTCCACTCTGAATCAGCTGGAGTTTTGTTATGTGGCTTTTTTCACTTATTCTGTATGTTTTGCTGCCTTTAGGTATTTGAGATGTTGGTACATTCATATATTCTTACAGAAAATAGAAGCATTTGAAGAAGCAAATGCTCAATGTCGTAGTGTTTAAGGAGTTCAAACCTGGATGTGGCAATTTGTAACAGATTAAGTCCAGGCAAAGATCATCCATTAAACGATTTTAGGATGAAAACTCTATGTAGCAGTATGGAGAGGGAGAGGAAGAAGCAGAGGAAGAGGGATTTCTTGAGGTGGAATGAGGATGGGGAAAACAGGATTAAGAGGGAAAAGCAAGCCTCTTAGGTGGGATTAAAAGTAACAAAAAAGCTGTTACCCAGGAGCTTGTAGCTGTTCTAAAATTGCCTTGTGCAGAAAAAGATAGAAAGAGGTGAATGTTGGGACTTAGATGAAGAAACATGGGAACTAATTATAGTCCTCAATCCTCTCTTTTGAGCTGGAAAATAAGTAAATGAAGGATTTATAAAATGTATATCACAGCAAAAGGCACATACAGTTTTTATATGATTCACCAAATCATTCAACAAAAATTGCTGTCAAGGAAAGGCTGGCTAGAAATGCTTTGAACTTGGGTGAGAGGTAATGACAAATTCTAACATACAGACAGGAGTGGTTGTTTACCTTTGTTGCTAATAAAATGAAAGAGGGATACTCTTCAACAATTACACAAAATGCACTGTGAACATTGTGCTGATATAAGTGCACCCAAAAAATTATATTGCTAAAGAGTGTCTCAGTTTGTAGACTTGTGCAAAGACATTGCAGATACTGAATTCTGGAAGTTGTACCAAGAGAAGTGGAAAAGGATTTATAAAACCCATAAAACTATTTGGCTTCTTGCATCTCCACAAAAAGATGAGGAACATGCTGACTATTTTAGAACAGAGAGCAACTTCGGATTTCACATGATGAAATTATGACTGTGACAGAAAATGAGCCATTGAATCACATGTTCCTTTTTCAGAAAGAAAATTTTAATGTGTAAACACCATTTTTGTAACCTGTTTGTACAGGGAAAAAAATGAATACATTAATTAATAGACATGAAGTAAAATAATGCAGTATGCCTCTCTGATTTGTTCCACAATTCACCCACATAAAGGAATAGAGGTATAGAAACCTAAGAATAATTTTTTTGGTATCTAAATCTAAAGCCCAATTTCCTGTAATTTTCAAAGAATATACTAGCACAAGGCTGATAGTAAAGATCCTCTGCACAGAACACAGTCTTTCAGAAAATGGTTCTCTGTACTGCAGATTGAATCTGACTGGAAGTTTCTAGAAAAGAGCAACAACAACAAAAACCAACCAACCAATTGAAAAACTCAAAAAACAAACAAACAAAACCAACACAAACCTTGTACGCAGACAGCTTTCTCAGCACAGATTACTCAAGAGTTTGGGCTGGAAGCCTGAGTCAAAATTGAACAAAAGCCATTCTGCTTATGAAGAATTCACTTCCAGCAGCCTCTGTTCCAGAATGACAAAGCTCTGCCAGCCACACGGGGCACAGCAGGAAGAAGAGAAGCCAGGAGGAAACTTGGCTTCATACCTATTCCAGCTTTAATCATCCTTTTTGAACTGGCTTCAGCTGTCAGTTGTGTGGAAGACAAAAACCTGTGAAGAAGTATAAAACCAGGTTATATTAGAGGTGATATTGCCATCAGCATTTGCTGCTCATCTGCCATTCTATTAGGAGAAAACAGTAATACAAGTCCTGTCATAAAATCTGATAAATGAGGATATCCACCAGGCAATGCCTATTTTTTGAGGGGGGCATAATTTTTGAAAGAAATAACGAACAAGTATGATGCCAGGTTTTAATGGATTGATTGTTGTTGCTGCTGTTCTTTACTGGATCCTGGGCACAAGAAAACAGTAATGTTGTGGACAGCAAAACCTGCTGCCTTTCTCTCTCTTCAGGCTTTTATTCCAGTCTCATATTTTCTGTTTCCACTTCCTGTAATTTCTTGGGTTATCAACTCATCTAGCCCTTCTAAAGATATTTTCAAATTATTTGCATAAGTAATCCACCCAAACTTGTAATGTTTATTATTTGTCTCTATAAAGATACCGCAGGACCTATCACATTCATGTAAGACAGGTAGCTATCACTTAGGTTAATAGATAACCAGGTTATATACCAGTATGGACTATGAAACCAGAGGGATTTCCATGCTATATTTTGAATTATGTATTGAAATCTTTAATGATGGCTGGTAGTTAATCACAGACATGAAAAGATAGTGTCCTTATGCCAGTCAGTAAAATTACACATATATCCACAGCTGCCTTCAAAAGAAGCTTTTAGTGACTTGATAATTTTGCAATATGCTTTGTGTCCTAGATGCTCTGTCAGGTTCTTTCAGATGCTTTCAGTGCAAAAGGTTAATTTGTTTTGTTAGCCAAGGTGGTAAACAGATAATCTGACAAACCTGGTCTGGTGTGATAGAGGCATTTTAAAGCAGACAATGGAGAGTTCTAAAGTGGCTGTGGTAGGGAAGCAAGACCAAGAATACAAGGGTTTGCTTCAACAGTTAGATTTGCTTATGGGCAGAAGAAGAAAGGCTAGGATACTAATGAAGATGAGTGAGCGGCAGAAACAAAAGTCAGTTTCCTAGGACATGTATTTATTCTAAAGTTTTAAGTGCTTGTAGATCATCTTAGTGCCAGAAACTTGCAGTTGTTTATTTTCCAGCATCTTTGTACTAGTTAGGATACTGTGACACATTTTCAATACAAAAATAAGATAGACTGAAAGCTCTCTATGTTGTAACATTATATACAGAAATAAAAACCAAGGTCTGGTTTTAATCATAGTCATAGTATGGTTTTTAATTTGCTTAATAACTTACCATGGTACAGGCAGGATTTTCAAAACAGTTTTTTCTAAATTAGATGAAATGGAAGGCTGACATCAGGAAACACTGCTGAGAAAATAAAATATTTTGAGAAATTCGAGGCTTCATTTAGAGTACAGCTTCCATTTTGAAGTCACCACGTGGACTTAAAAATTTACACCTATAGTTACATTGCAAAATATTGATGTTGAAATTGAAGAAATTTGTAGAAAAAGCTGTAGGGAGGTTGCAATGAACCCATGAACTTTTTTTTCCCCTGGAATTTACATGCTTATAGTATACATTCTGCTATAGTTTTTGGCTTAGAATTTATGTCCCTGGGTTGATATTATTACTAATTAGTGAGGGGTTTAATTTGTAGGGCTGTACCTGCAAAAAGGATAGTAATCATGATTACTGCAGTCTGCAGGTCTGGACACCAATATGATGACAAACAGAACTGGTGGAATCCTTCATTCACAGACACCCTTTGCATATAATATACTAGATGCTGAAAAAAGTGAGAGAACATGAAAACAAAAAAACCTCTGTTTCCCTCCTGGAATAAGCATGTTAAATATGCATACATTGCATTCTTGAAGCTGTTTTTAGCTTGACAAGAAATAAAATAGCCCCTGAAACTGTGAGTAATACTTTCATAATATTAAGTCTAAAAATTAGAGAGGGAACTTTCTGAAATTACTCCCCCCTCCATATATATATGTGTGTGTGTTCTTTTCCTTTCAAAAGTGTTGATATCTCTTTGTAGATTGTCACTAGTTGTTGATAATTTTTAACTTTCTGTGTATGTCAGAGGACATGCATGCCATTCCTCCTTGTGCTGACTTTCAGAATATTAGCCATAATCTGAGGGGAAGAGTTATCCAGGATGGCAGTCCTCAACAAGACTTCTCTATTTTATTAGTGTTACATAGAGAATGGAGAAAAATCTATTGTTTTGAAATAATCTGTTAAAAAAATTAAAGAAACATAAGCAGGGGAAACAACCCTTTTTCTTTCTCTAGAAATAGCTAATTCTTTTCACTGTGAGGTCAGCTACCTCCAGTCTGAAAGGATCTTGAGTGTGGAGATAGCTAAATGTTACCATGGATCAATACATGATACATCTAATGCAGCAAACTGATTACCTCTGCACCTGCAGAGGTCACCTGAATGAAGACATCACATTCTGTCCTCTCTTGCATCTTCAAAAAGGGCACAAAAGTTACAAACTCAGCACATTTCTTAGAGCGTAAACAGGTGAACTAGGTAGGGTGTTATTACAGACAAGAACTATAGCACTGAGCATGATATATTCAGCTGGAGGGTAGCGGCATGTCAACAGTGAAGGTTTCTCTATCATCTTTCATATCAGCAGGTTTTGTAATTGGACATTTATACAATTGCAAAATTGTTGCACTGATTAAAATAGGAAGCAAATGCAGTTGTATAATGGGACATTTGTGCTTGCAATTGCTAAGTCATTTGCAAACTGAGCAGATTTATGTTTGCCTTGCAAAATTGAAATATTAATGAAAGATGGAGAAGTGAAAGTAATCAGAAATTGTGAGTTTGGGGAAAGAAGGATCCTGCACTCTCATTTCTAATAAAATTAAGTGACCCAGAGCAGTGATTTTATATACTGTCATGGTTCAAGAAGATCTGTCTCTTACGTTTGTATTACAATATACCAATACACATACTTCTAATCTGAAGAAGGGATTCTCCCTGATTCGCTGACAAAAAGAAAGAACCACTGTTCCACTGGACAAAAGAAATCTTTAGTACAGCTAGAAAAAAGGATGATTATTTACTTTAATGAGAAAACACCAGAGATCATTTATTCTGAGGCTCACTCACACAAATCAGTTTTTCCAGAAAATAGTCACTTTTACAAAGAAGATAGATTTGAATATATTAGGCTAATATTTATGTTCATAAACATAAATATTATGATAATATAATAATATTCATATACATATATCCATTCATATATAATATACTACTAATAATAATATTCAGATACTCTTCCAACATATCAAGAGCAAGGTCTCCAGGGGTTAGTTGCTCATTTTCCTGGTATGGTGCTCTTCTGTCCTGCTGATGTGGCTTTAGCAACTGTTGTTGCATACTACTTAGAAACAGCATGTTTTCTTTCTTGTTAATTGCTTTCCTTTATTTTTTTTTTTTTTAGACCCATTTAGGTGCATTAACAAGAAATGTTTCTTCTCAAAAAGCAGCAATACTGAAAACAGAAAATGAAAGTTTTCTCATATTACATAGTTTGAAAACCGCAGGCATAAATCATCAGTTATCAATGGAGTCATCAGAAGTATTAATGTTGATACTGTAGCAATTAATTCATCTTGCCCCATTTAAAAAAACAAGCAAACACAAGCAAACAAAATCAAATAGTGATTCAACAAGCTGCAAGTGAACTCTAGACTGCAAAGAAAGTAGCAAAATTCCCATTAATGCCTTTTGACCAGATTTTATGCCTAAATACCCAGTGGGTGCAATATCAGTAGGTAACTGCAGTAACAAAGCGGTAGTTACAGCACTGAAGGGATCGATTGGAGCACAACACTGAGGCTCATGTTAGTAAATAATCTTAACTCAAACTGCCAGCAATTTAAAGTCAAAGAAAACAATTTTGAGATGCTTTAGATTACATTGTTTCCCTTCTATTTAAGGAAATACACAAGTAATACTTAAGTAAAATTAAAGAGAGCTATTCCTTTCTTCTTCTTGTGTCTCAGTCCTGAAAGTGAAGAACACTAGATCTTTGTATCCTAGGGCAGCTGGCTTGAGGGAGGTCCCAAGTTTGTTTCTAAATTAGCCTTAAGTCTGTGTTATTTCACTTCAGAAATGAAGAACCTCTTTACTTTTTGAGTTCCTGAGCATGAAGAGCAAAGGCAATAGTGACTCCACAATAGAGAAGTGCAAAAAATTTATTTTGGAAGAGAAAAATAACCTTCGTTAGGTTATTTAAAATATTTGGAGTGGAGGGTTTGTTTGTTGGTATAACTGTTAATTGTCTTCAATAACAAATTGTCATAAGTAAAATCTTGGAGAAGACACAAACAATTATTTACATTGTGTCTCTATGCAGGAAGCCACAATGGTAAGCTTTTACTTCTAAGTAATTGCTGTGTGAGCACCCCTATTCATTGTTTGAATGTTACACTTTTCAGGGTGATATAACAAGTTTCCTTCCATTCCCCCCTTAAAACCGCTCCAGCAATTAATTTTCTGACCTTTCTGTGGACATAGAGCTCCAATGTCATCCAGCAGCCATTGCCTTATATACCTCTATGTGTACTTAATGTGTCCACACAGAAACAACCTTCCAAATCACTGGTGATCTGGACAACAGCCATTTTCCCCAGCTGAAATGCTGCAGTCCTGTTTCCCGTGAGATTCTGGGTTCTTGCACACAAGGCATTTATGCTGATTAAGCTACTTTTTTTAATCAGCAGAGCGTGCACTGTCAAGCATATTTGACTCAAATATATAAGCATAAATTGATTTACTCAGTTAAAAGCTTCATCTGGCAGTAATAGATAATAGGTGGAGCTACAGGAATCCACAGTGCTTATGGATCCCAATTTACTTTTGGTCTCTAAAGCAGAATGCTAAAACTGGATAGGAATTTCTTCACTGGCACTTCACAGAACACTGAGTTCTTGAGAGTGAGATGTACTATTTCTCCTAATAACATTACTTCTTCATTGGCTTTCCCTTGCTAGCCTGACACAAATATGCTTCTAATTATCATTATGCCCTATGTTACTGCAAAATACGAGGCATACATTGCTGCCATAAGACAAAAGTCTAGATACAAGCTGTAGGAGCTTTAATGAGATGTACTGAGAAAAGGAGCCCTGCTCTTGTTCAAGAACATAAAATTTAGTGTCAGACTTTGTTCATTTTAGTGTGTGGATAAAGCCAAAAGAGGCAGTGATTAAAAAGAATATATATGTATTTTGCATATTCTTTTAGGACATGTCAGCCATCCTAAGGGTTGGAAATAGTCAAAATAGTGTGTTCTGTCCAATGAACTGCTGCAAAGATAACAGATTTTTTAATGACCATTAACTGGGAACCAGATCAATGATGTAGTTATAATCCTCAAAATTACTGATCAACCCTTTTCACCTAGTCAGCTGTTTGCTGTAACAGGAAATGAGGAAACAGTTTCTTGGATGAGATAAACAAACAATTTTTATCATTGCAAAATTGAAGTGTGCAGCACAAGTTAAATAGCTTTTTAGATTTTGTTTTAGCAGTTACCGCTTGCCTTATTTTTTAACTCCATCTGACTGTTCCTGTATTCCTGCTTTGTGTTACCTTAAAGAATTAAACCAGTTATCCTTCCAAATAAGCAGCCCAACTTTTTTTTAAAACAATTGTCTTATTCACAGCTGTTACAAGAAATTTAAGTGTAGAGATTGGTTTACTTAGGTTTTTCGGCTAACAAAGGTCAAGAGTTATAAATGTGTGAATCATTAATTGTAGTGCGTGTTCCTTTTGCTGTGTTGCTGAGAATTGCACACGAGAACAGAGATTAAATACTTCCCCACAGGCTGCAGTGTTTTTTCCCCCCATTGCCAAAGTTAACTCTGCACTGGTACAAGGAGACATCTACTCAGTTGTATAGGTTGCTTCTGGTGGCCCCTTGGATATGGACATCCCCAAAAATAAAGTTACATCGAGTTTTCTGTGATTTTCTTGCTTTTCCCAGAGAAGAGAGCATCATATTAAAATGCCATTGACAGGGTGTCAATTTGCCATTTTGTCAGGTGCTTTGATACATGTACACTTTTATAAAAGAGAAGAACTTTAGTTAGATCTGGGAGCTCATAGCATCACTCAGGTGACTGATCCCAAAGCATTTAACACAGTTCAGTAGGAACATTTCTGACCTTAAAGTGAAGTTTGTGAATTATTAGTTGCTAACTGGTGTTCCAAAAGTATGCTTGCAAATTATGGGTCAAACATCTTGCTGTCCCAGTATGGTATCTTCTGAGGGCAGATATTACTTGTGACCAGGGCTCAGGAACAGATCCTAGCTGGTGTGGCCTGTGGCTTTTTTAATTGCAGTGGTCAGTCACTGAGTGTATTCATACAGTGTTACTGAGGGCCAATGCTGTGCACTGACTGAGCAGTATTGCACTTAACATGCTACAGTTCTGAGTGGAATTCTGGATGTGTTTGGGGGCTGTAAGAAAGAGCAGTCTGTCTCCATCAGACATAGCTGTCGAGCTTAGACTGAGGCAGCCTCTCAGTGGAGCTTTAGAGGTTGGCTCAGTGTGGCTGAATGGTGAATGTGGACCAAAGAGCAGGCTTGAATAGCACTGAGCTGATACTGCTGAGATATACAGAGCATGCAACACTTGAAGCATGTACTTCCCATTGCAGAAGAGGGACATTGACAACTATTACTGAAGAGGAATATTTTAGTACGCAAGATGCTTTCTTACCAGCAGCAAGATTAGCACTCAAGGAAAACTTTCAAAAGCAAGCAATGAAAGCTTGAATAAGAGGCAAAGATTGCAAAGTATCTAGCTTTGTAAAAGGACATGTAAAAGCCAGTAGTGAGAGCAGTACTCTATTTTGGCATCCAAATGTGACTAGCAACCTTTGACTCTATGCCAGTTCAGCACTGGGTGTGAAACTCTTGGCAACTTGCCTTGGCTTCACAGCATTTTGAGGTCTGGAGACAGAGAGTGCAGAGAGAGAGGGAGTGCAGAGACCTGAGTATTGAGATGATTTCATAAGTCTTGTTTGTTTCTCTTTTCTATTTACAAGAAATTATTAATGCCTTTAGGGACTATGGAGGATCTAGCTTGCAAAGCTTAGGTTGACGAAACAAATTATATCCCCCATTTCTTTAGAAATGGTGCTTAGTAGTGTTAAGCTGTATTTTGTCCTCCCTTGAAACAAACAAACAAAAATATTTCTAGTAACAGAAAGCTTTTGTCTGATGTGATTTTCAATAAGTGAAAATTGCATCAGCTTAAAACGCCAAACTTCCTTGTTAAGAGCCAACGTGGTTTTTAACGTCTCCCCTTATCCCAGAATTATCAGAACTGTGTAGAGTATCTGTAAACAAATGGCTACAGATTCTGAGAAATCAGAAAAAATAAAATTATAAGAATGTTTTTGGTATAGTTTGTGCTTGCACAACAAATACACTACATTTAACCCGAACCTTTAAATAAACTAATTGCTGATAAAAGGGGTGCTTTTCCAAAACAGTGGTATGATTTTCTGTTTGTTTGTAGGTGTGAATTTCCCCAAGTCAGAATAAATTTTATGTTTGTATTTATGCAATGAATGGTATAAATTCAGAAGTCCTCTCACTAATCTTCCTAGGAGTTTCAATTAAGAGGTGCATACAGGTCTTCAAGACTCTGGTAACTATGGATTTTTCTCAGAGTTCTTTTGCCCATCTCCTGTTTAAGGCAGCGCTCCTCCTCTGCGTGGGAGGGGAGAGAAGGCGGGTTGTACTTCCCAGCATCGCTGCCACAGACCTTGGCAGCAGAAAGCCCTGTCAGGCAAAGGGGGGTGATCTAGAAGCAGCAGGGTTAGCAGATGCGAAGCCTGCCAACCTCGAGTCACCAGCGCAGGAAAGGAGTTCACCAACCCTTTACTTCTTTGCTCATATTACCCTGCAGTTGTGTACATTGTGACTTCTGTGCCTGTAGTACCAGATTTTATGGTCATCACCTTCCCCTGCGGACAGCACAACCCACAAATTTGTTATTGTGGTTATTCCAGCATCCCTTTCGGAAGTTCAATGCCAAGCATACCATGATACTTCAAAGCAGAGATCCTAAAGGAAGGTACTGTGTAAGCTCTTACAGACATTGCTGGGAGCAGCAGTGTGTCCCACATGCCTGTTTATTCCCATGCTGGCTTGTAGAAGAAGGTAGAGCAGCAGATTTCTCTACACTGGCAAATCCTATATAGCCTGTTTTGTGCGACTCACACTTTTTTGTTCCCCTGCATGTCTTTAATAGAATTAACAGATGGATTTTTTCCTTTAAGCTCTAATGAACTTTACTAAGATACTCACAAACTGTGCCAGAAGTTTTAAGCAGTCTTTTTCTCTAGTGGTTCATTTGGCACCATAATTTCTTATCTTAACAAAGGCACTGACACTTTGTGGGTGACAGTTCTTGCTCTGTATCACCATCAGAATGTGTGACATATTAACTTTAAAGCAACAAAGAGCTTTTATTTGCTGAAAACAGGTCTCTTTAAATATTGACTTCTTTAAACATTAAACATTATGGACAAACATCCCAGAGTTGATGATGCAGGGATTGCAAAATAAATTACTGTTTAAACCATGGAATGTGCAGCATGACAGTTCAGTGCAGCTGCCAGGGCCGCCTCCAGCTACCCTCTGGAAAGTGCTCTCACCAACTGTGATATCAGGGCTAACAGTGATTTCAGACTTACTCCAGGAAGCATTATTGTCAAATAAGCATACTGATTAATTGCTTTAATGACTTCAGAGCAATCTCTTATTAACTGTCTTCTGATTTCAGAAGTTACTGCTTTTGTGAAAAAGCAATAGAGATAGAAAAAGCTTTTGAGAAGTTATTGCTTTTGCGAAAAATTATGTTGGTCATTTGGTCACATCAAAAATGAAAGTATGTAACTCAAGACATACAGAACTTCATAGCTTAGTAATTTTCTCTCCAGATAAAAATGTATTGGTCAGTTCTTTGGAAATTCCAATCACTGATATTTGTATTGCCTCGGTGAGCTTGCCCAGCACCAGTTTCAAGTTCTTTGAGTCAAACACCTTGCCTGAAGAAGGGAGCACAAATTCTAAGCCATTACCACCTCCTCTGAGTTTTTCTGCCAGATTTGTCTCCTTTTCACTACACTTCAAAAGTAAGAAACAGCTGTTCTCTGGGAAGCCTCAGAAGAGTGTAAACAATGCTATACACTAGATATGTTTTACTTCAGCTCAGAAAAAAATCCTTTTGCAAGCAAATTTACCTATAATCCAGTAGGAAGTCTTTTAACAAAGGAAGAACTTGCAAGACCATACACAGATTGCACTTATGGAAATGGAAAACTGATGGCTTATCTTCAGGACAGAATGATAAACCATCCTTCTACACTGCATTGTAGGTGAGACCAGAAGCACAAGTTCAAAGAAAATCTCCCAATTTTTCCCACCTACAAAGAGTGCTCAAAGCATATTATCTGCATTACCTGCAGGTAACTGCAACCCAGAAGATGTGCCCCTAGACTGCTTCAGCCACTAATGAGCAACAGAATCAGAGGAGGATCAATCTAAAATAAAACCTACTGAAATTAATGTATTGTGGAATACCCACAAAATTTTTTACTTTATAGATTCACTCCTACTGTGTTATCCTACTTATCAATGCATGCACAGCCCAAACAGTCTTCTGATATATAATTAATTACCATTTCAGCTGCAGTAGCACCTTTGGTAGATGTTGAATAATTCATAAATACACTAATAAATGGGAAAAAAAAAAAACCCAGAAACCAAAGCCAAACAAAATAAATGGTCTCTGTTTCAAAACTGAAATGTAATTTTTGTCTAATGCATTTTCTTCTGCTACTTCAAAGCTTTGGAAGGAAACACTGGGCTTCCAGCCACAGGCAGGATTAAAGCTCAGATGACTTAGGTCAGTGTTACTTCACTGACTTCAGTGTACAAAATAACTACATATCCTAGATAAAGATCTAGGAAAAAAATGTATTTTTCCATAAGAACTGACTGAAAATTAAGAATTTAAGTGTATGTTTTAAATTACCATGGTAAGAATATCACACCAGCATAAATAACAAGATTCACTCAGTTATTTTCTGCTCTTCATTCCAAGCCACCAGTTCTACTACATTATAAAGGGAAGGCTGGAAGCATCCCTGCCATGAGAAACAATAGATTCATGCACCACACCTTTACAGAATGTTATCTAAAGCCCTACAATTCCTTTTGGATGCTAAATGTTTATGTATGTATCTCTCCATCTATCTACATGCATATATTCTCAGGCAGCATTTGGAAGTTCCTTCTACCTCAAAGTTTACATCTGTCTCTTCCTGTTCAAGCTAACCTGCATTGATCTGCTTTAAATTAAGACCATGTGTTATACCTCTTAATTCTGAGAAGGTTTACTCCAGCCTGCATTCTACCTATCAGTATTCTCCTTAGCAGAAGCTGCAGGCTAGTTCTCCACCCAATTATTCACACATGTCATAGGTTTCCAGAAGATTGTTATTGTTATGCTCCAAGAGAATCTTCTTGGAAGAATCCAAGAGAATCTCTTTTTGGAAAAGAGATCCCTCCATGGCACCTGCAGTCACTTATATGCATTCTGCATTCCCCATTTTTCAAAGGCCCTAGAGTTTCTGTCTACCTTTTCCAGTGCTGCTGGCTTGGCATGTCAGGGAATGTCTTTCTTTTCCTAGTGATCAGTGAATTGATGACCTTCCTAGCAAGTGCACCTAGAGGTAGTCACCTGGGCTACTCTAATATAAACAATGTTGAGTATAAATAAACTGGAATTTTACCAAGATTAATTAATTTAAAAATCTCAGTGAGCTGAGCTGATCTTGACTGACCTATAGATAAAAGACACAGGTTAAATCAGCTGTAAATCTGAACATTTACTATCCAGAGGAAGTTGTTGATGTAATTATAGGTAACTGCTGAAATCATAACAGTTCTATAACAGATGTGCTCTTGGAAAGGTATTAGCTCATAGACAGAAGATGCCAGATGATTAAAAAAGAACCGCCATATTGTTGCATGTGAGCACAAAGTAGTTTACCCTGTTAAAAAAAACTAAAGCAAAAACAATTTTCTGACAATAAACTCGGACACAAAGTCTTAGTTTAGTTTCATTGAGAGAATTTGGACACTCAGCAGCTTCTGAGCAGACTGAGCAGTGATGGTGCTTTCGAGTCTGCTAGATATTACATAGTTACTAATAATCTTCCTGACATCACTGGTGAAAGTTAAAATCCAAGACAACTGAGAATAAAAGCAGTAGATAAATTGGCAGCTTTGGCCTATGTGCCCTTTTATCTGAACAAGTCTGAATATTCAGTTTTGCAAGTGTGATTGTGCAACTCAGAGATAACTGTTCCACTTCTGTCCCAGTGCTCTTTAGTTAGTCACTGCCTGCAATATTTTCTGCAATACCTGTCCTTGACACTATCCAATAAAGATTATTTTAAATTTATGTGTATGAAAAGTGTATTCTTTGTGTGTGTGAAATTTTGTTTTCCTACTGCCTCTTAAAAAAAATGCCTCTTTTTCTTTGTCTCCATCTCTGCTCTCTGCACTTCACACTCAGAAAGGCTTTGCTAACAGCTCCAGTGCAGCATGGAGAACAAGCAAAACATTTCAGAAGCTGGGCAGCATTTCACTTGAATATCATCAAATCATCTCTGTATTTAAAGTTGGAGATATGCTTGTGTGATTTAATTGAATTAGGACATTACACAAAAAAATATTTTATCTAAGCCTGATTTATGCTTTCTGCTGGTGCTACCAAAGAGTCATCTTGAGTGTGTGACACCAAGAACATTCAGAATTTAAAGAGAAAACAACACAAACTCAAATCCTTCTTCTTCTGGGTAAGGAAATCACCCTGCTTGGGGATTTATTTGGCAGAGCTTAGAATGTATCAAATCTGACTGAAGATGAGGAAACTCAGTGTCTTGCTAATGCGCTTCAGATGGATACAATGATGACAGCAAGTGCTTCATGATTGTGAATAAAAACGCAACCAGCAAACTGACACATCTAAGAAATACTTCTCTAAGACACACAGCTGCACTGCTGAACTACCTGATAGTCAGCTCTCAGAATATAAGCTTTCCTCCACCTGACAAATTCCATTCAATTTTTAAGAATTTATATGGGCAGCTTTCTAGCTGCCAAAGGTTGTGGAAGCTTTTCAGTTTTGTTTTTCACACATTGTCAAAAGATTTTTTGTTTTGGCTTGTGTGCTTTCAAAGGCAGAACAGAAATATTGACAAAGGCACTATTCATGTCCGTATTTAACTGCTGATTGACAACTCTTTTTCTGCATGCTGGTAGAAGGTGCTGAGTTATATCTTTGGCTGGAAGGAGCCCACAGTGAAATTGAGCACCTCTTCCTCAGTCCCAAATAACTGCAAATCTAAAGGGTCTTTTGTTGAAAGATTATTGAGTTTCAGAAATTAAGGCAAGAAAGAAAAATATTTTTTTTCCCACTCAAACTCTGACCCCTGAACTCAGGATAGATATTTCTACCGTCCTCATCAGCATGCCATCTAACAAAGAGGTTAGTTTCCGTTAGGTGTTTTGTTTCCTCCCAAATAATTTCAATGAAATAAGAGCAAAGTTAAAATGTTTATGTTTAAAAATTCTATGGCATAAAAAAGGAAAAGTTGAAGAGATGGACCTTGTTAAGTAATGAGATATTATTTTCTATACAATAAATATAAACCAGAAAAAAAACTCAGAGAAAATAGGCAAGTATTTTGGGTTTTACATCTTCTAACAAAAAGCTATTTCACATTTTTAAGCAGTATTTACACATAATTGCCTACTAAAAGAAATGATGCAATGTTTCCATGAAACAGCTGCTACTTCTACCTTTTTTAATATTTTGAGCTTTCATTTTTCAATTTGTCCTTTTGAAAGGGGAGCCTTGAAGGGACTCTGGGAGGATCTCATTGCTGTTTGCAGCTCCCTGTAAGGGGGTTGTGGTGAGTCAGGGCCTGCATCCACTACAGTGCCTGCAGGGAGAAGACAAGAGGAAATGACCTTAGGCTGAGGCAAGAGAGAGTCAGATTAGATAGTATAGAAGAATTGTCACTGTTAGGGTGGTCAGACACTGGAATAGGTTTCCCAAGGAGGTGGTGGAGTCACCATCCCTGGAGGTGTTCAAGAGCCATCTGGGTCTGGCATTGGGTGGTGTGTTTTAGGGGTTTAGGGCAGTGCTGGGTTGGTGGTTGGACTTGATGAACTTGAAGGTCTCTCCCAACCTTGATCATTCTATGAAAACATTTACCTGGATATTGCAGGGTCAACATGCTGGACTTTGTCTTTCAAATACATGGAAACAACTTGGCATTTACATGGGCCAAAATACTTAGAAGTGTTTCCATTTCAGAGGTGGACTTTTTGAATGCATATATAGCGAGTGAGGCAGAGTCAGCCCTAATATTCACCATATAATAATGTACCAGGAATAAAGGGTCTATGGCTACATTAGCATTTGAATTGTCTCTCTAGTATGAGAGCATTTATCTAATTTAATGTTTCCAAATATTCTGGCATGTCAAATAAATGTGAAATAATTGAATCCATAGAAATATCAAGATGATTATTTTTCAAAAGGGAGAAAGATAGTAAAAAGATGAGGGAAGCAGCAAAAAGGGATTAGCAAGCTACTCATAAATGTACATGTCCAATCAGCATTTTGACAAAAACTTGTGTGACATTTTGTTCTCTGGGTGCCCAGTAGTTTTGCCACATTGCTCAGTCTGTAAATTCTGGAAGAGGCCCACCGTTTTTTCAAGAGTTTTCACCTATTCAGGTGGTCCTCCATTACTTGACTCAGGACAG